CTGCTGATGCTCTTCTTCACTGCATCTGAAAGCATCAGGGCCTGTAAACTGTATGTAACAGTAGCATTGTCAAATTCTTTTCATCTATTACACTGTAAGAAAATACAACTAATTATGGGCATTTGTTATATATCCTTTCATCTCCCTGACTTCACAATCTTTCCTCTTCCTGTGTCCTCTGTGCATCATACTGAGACAAGCTCTGCATTAGTCTATTCTTCCTTCCTTCCTTCCTTCTTTTCTTCCTTCCTTCCTTCTTTCCTTCCTTCCTTCCTTCCTTCCTTCCTTCCTTCCTTCCTTCCTTCCTTCCTTCCTTCCTTTCTTCCTTTTCCTTTCTCAATCTCTTCTATTATTCTTCCTTTCATGTATTTTTACATTTTCTTCTTCCTTCATCACAAAAATCCTCCTTTCTCACCCTCATTTGCCTATGACAACACCCAGAGCAAGGGCTATTCCTCCTTCTCTGTATTGAAGAAAACATTTCCTTTATGTCCCACTCAATCACTCTTCTTTTGCCACAGGATAGGGAAATACTAGCTCCAGTCACGTCTTTGACCCCAGTCAACCTATTCATCCACTAGAGTTTTATTCCTCCTTAGCCTTTTGAGGAACAGATTCAGGTGACTACTGCAAACCTTTTTGTGTTTCCCTTCAAAACATGCATGTACCTCTAAGCATTTGAAAATACAACTGCATTATTAGCTCGGGCCACTTAGAGGGCAGGTGGCATTCTACAGACCACACACTCCTTGTTCTGCAGGCTAAACTGCGGTCCTGTCTGTAGTGCCCCAAATGTGCTTTTTGTGAACACTTTCACCAACTGCATAGTGATAACAGTTACTTTGCTGTCTATTCCTGGGGAAAAAAAACAAAAACAAAAAACAATGAAACAAAACATAATAAGGAACTGAGATAAGAGAATCAACGGAAAACACCTTGTACCAGACATTTCTTTGCTGATACCTGTAGTTTTGCTGCTGTATCTAGCTTTGGTAAGGGAACTTATGCTTGAGTAAATTATACACACTACACGAACTGTCTTCCATTGATATACAGAAACTGATATTTGAAATTAAAGCCCCTTCTGGCACTCACAGATCACAAACTCCCACAATGTACATCCAGTTGACTTAACAGGACAATGTTTGCTGGTGGACAACCAAACTGGTAAGAACGTCATGTCAAACCCACCTTCATGACACATACAAGCCATGGCACAGCAGCTGGGTTTTAGATGGTGACCTAATTGCATGATCTAATTTGCATTTTTGTTTAAAAAATCTGTTCTGAGGAAAAATCTAGCCCGCAGATATTATCCATATCAGAAAAAGAGGGGATTTTTCTTGTAGCTGCATCTAATATTCCTAAAAGAAGAACAAAAGATAAGCCCTGGTGTCCTCATACAAATACTTCTTTAAGTTGCGGGAGATTAAAAAGTGCTCCCTCAATTATTTCTTCTCATTTTCCTGGGATTACACATGCACAGATAAACACATGCTGTTTCAAAATCCTATCAGTTCCTGCCAGCCCAATGTGTTACGTTAGCTAGAAGCATTCTGGCTCATGGAACACATTCTTGAAGAAATGCACACCCATCAAGGAGTATCTGAAAGCAGAACTGGATGCTTCAAAAGAAAATGCATGTACCAACTGATAGAGGAAAATCTTTGGGGCTCCTTTTATGTTTGTGGTATAACTTGCTGGATGACACTTGGCAATAGTCTTGACTTACCCGACACTTGTGGTTCAGATGTTCAAGTCTTTCTGACTTCAAGGTGTGCCTTCATGCTGTCAACTCATCCAACAGTTTAACAGCATTTGAAACATTGTCCAAACTGCTAATAACATCCAGTTTATAGGTAGGAGGGGATCTTTCTAATAATAGGATTTTCTTGACATGCTTAAACAGTAATTGCTCACACCTGTGATGACTGCATGCTGTTTTACCTCTTCTGACATGGAGAAGGCAGATCCTGGCTCCTGGAAGCTTAGTCAGAAGTAAAGGACATCTAGGAGGTGATAACATCAGTGAAATAGGACGGAGGAACAGAAACTAAGAAGGGAAACAAGGTGTCTGAAAATACTTGAAAACCTGCTTGCTGTCTTGCCAAGCGTAGAAAGAAGGTGCTGCACTGGCTGTTCAGAAAAGCTGGCCTTTTATGTAGAGGATCCACGTGAGGAAGCAAACAAAAAGTAAAAATTAAATAGAAAAATATTCTATCACTGTCCCCATCATGTTAAGATTTCAGGACTGGGACTCTGGTCATATAATTTTTTCTTGAGACAAATTACTCAAACTAAAAGAAAAAAATAAGTTAATTAAAACATTCAGAAGTTCAGTACTGCACTGTGGGAACAAAGGCAAAGGCTACTCGATTTGCTTGCAGTTCTTTTCAGGAAGAGCCTACAGAGGAGCAATGTGAAGTCGCCAAACCCCTGAGGAGTTTTGCTACCACCTGAGTCTTTGCTCTTTGATCCACACACCACCAGACAAATGGAAACAGACTTGCAATTGCATACGCAAGGCTCTGTTGTTTTCAGAGCTAATGCCCTGGCGGGACTCTTGTCTTCTTAAATAACAGCTGCGTGCTGTATATGGTCACCTGCTTTCCATGGCATCTTACCTTCATCTGCATT